TCGAAGCTCCCTTATTTGCGCGCTTTGCGCTTTGGTCTCTGCTTCCTTCCACGTCCCCCTGGCCCACCCTTGGGGTGAAGCTCAAGAGTTTGAAGCGGGACACGGAGAGACTTCTGAAATTGTCTTCTGTAGGCTTGTGCAGTGCCATTAAAAGTAAGCTTAAGCTCAGCGAGCACAGCTAGACCTTCGTTAATGTAAATTCGGGCCGTTTTGCTGGAGGCCCACCTCCCTTGAATCAGGAGGCGGTCCAACGAGCCGTGTCGGCCAAAATACATCGTGGCCCCTCCTCTCCTGAGGCTGTAGGGCCTGAAGTCATAACTGTCAAGTTGGCAAGCTAAGAGGCACTCATTGAAGGTCTTTCTCCAAGAATGAGGTGTTCCACAAAGGGTTGTTGGGGTGTGCGGTGAACTCAACCATTGCCAAAGTCTTCGCAAAGTGTCTTCTTCTCGAATCGTGACACTCTCTGCGGCTCCTGCCCTTTTACCTCCTTTTGTGAACCCGAGTGAGATCACGGCTGGACTCCGAGGACCTGACTGCACCACATGCGCCTTTTGCACCCCTAGTAGCTCCCCGGTGCGTAGGAGCCCATGAAACCCAAGAAGCAAGGACAGGGCGAACAGTGGTTGGTCGCTAAACAAGGCATATCCAGCTAGAACATGGAGGGCCTCCAAAGGCAGCGGGGGTGCACGGTTGGGTAGTTCATTTGCGGACCATGTCTTCAGAAGGCGCCATGCACTAGGCAAATGTCCACGAAGAAACGGGTGGAAGTCTTGTACCGCTGCAACGGAGTCACAGGCAAGTGCTCTTCCCTCTCCTGTCTCCCAAAGATGTTCGATGTAGTGCGAAAGGACATAGTCTTGGCCTGCAGCGTCTCGCGGATATGGACGACTTTCTTCTCGTAAGAAGTTGCGGTAGCGCTCCATGGCTTTGTCATAACGTGCTCTCGTTTTGCTTTGATTTTCTGTTCCTCTGGTTGGGGGCTTTGTTTTGCATCTAGGGTTTTGACATGACTTGCTAGTCAGTGCGCCAAAGCCAAAGCAGAAGTCGCCAAGAAATGTGCCATTGAAAGGTTGGTGAACAAATGGCACAAAACACAAGTTCCGTGGAACTTTGTCCATTTAAAGTTTATGCACACATTCTGGCCATGGCAATGCCATACATAGTATGAACGTACTATATATATATATTATATGCGTGCATGGACCTGGAGGCAATGTGCACGCCAACATTCCCAGCCAGCTTTGTTGTCTTTTTTTCGCTGACGAGCGATGAACCATCGCCCGCTTCGCGGCTGTTTGGCCACGGGTTCGGCGGTTCGGCGGTTCGTTTGCTGGAATGGCCACCGCACAAGATTTGGGGTGAAAGGCGTGGTTTTTTGATTGCCCCCAAAATTTTTACACGTGTTGGGGGCTGGTGGCCTTGATCATGCGCTGGGAGGCCGCTTTGGGGAACTTGTTTGGGCTCATCTTTCCAGTCCGCAACCCCAGCATCGAAGAGATCTTTGTTCCATCTCAGACAAGATTGCAACCAGTCAGGCTGAGAGATGTCTCGCCAATATCAGGAGTGAAACATCCCGAACAATCTTGTGGCTTCACCTTTCTGCGTTCAAACGTGTTTGACATCTACAGTAAGATACAGTAAGTTTTGTTTGAGCGAGGATCTATCTTCCCGAAGCCGCACCCCAGTACGCACTGTCAAAGCCTCAACAACCAACTCTTCTTGGGGTGGTTCAGCCAAATCCGTTGTCAATCAGGCTGGGATTCGCCGCCAGGAGATGTGAATCTACATGTAACTTGTCTTGTTGGCCCGGGAATATTCTTGCAGGATGCGCTTCAATGGTCTCCTGAAACCCTGAAGATCTTGGATGAAGTCCAAAACCCAACCCAGCGAGTTCTGCCCTCATGTTGGAAGCTTTAAGCAAACGGACAGGTGAAACACAACCGCCAACAACTCTCAGGCGTACCGCCACTCATTCTCGCCGGAGGTGTTGCGGGCTGAATTCCAACCCTGTCATCAACCCTTTGTTTGACTGCTGTTTCATGTGACAGGTCACCCTTGCATGTCGTGACGATGCTCAGACTGAAGCTGGCCCAATGGAGGTGCCATGCTCAAGTCAACAATGTCCTGCATTAACCAAATGTGATCCAACCAATATCAACCAATATATACCCAAGGTGATTGAAGAAAAAAGCTTTGCAGCTACTGTCCTTCGCACAGTGCTACCCTCAGCCTGCAACACCACCCTACCACACTCCAGCTGAGAAAGTCCAAGGTTGCAGCTTACGTGGAGGAGACCGCTGGTGTCCAATGCCCAAAGAAGACCTTGACTTCTGTGTGGCATGTTGTGGACGAAGCTTTAGAACGACTGAGAGACGGTGACCTTGATGTGGAGTTTTTGGCAACAGTTGACTAGTTCCTTGTGTGACTTAGCTTCTTTTTGGGGTCGCCAATTCGAACGCTGGCTGCAACTTTGGACTTTGGCCAGCCACGGGCTGAGTTGAGAGTGAGAACTGCTTTTCCGGTGATGTGAAGCCCAGTGTGGGGATTGAATTGTTTTTGGTGGCCAAACATGTTTGAAATCGGCACCACCTGTCTCCAAAGGTCCGCCCACCAAGCACGTGATGAAACGACGGGCGAGGCAGGGCACTGCAAAGTGACTTAAGCGTGACACATGACATGAACCTGGCTAAACACCTCCCGGCCCGATCTCACTGCGTCAGGTGAGGTTGCTCTGGGCCTGCCGCGTTCGGCTGGCTGAGCTGCTGGGGTGAGGGCGAGGGGTCCGGATTTTTCTAGTATCACTAGCATCTAAAACCGGAGGAAGGTCCAAAGCCTCTTATCGTCTAATGGATCCGGCTCTCTTGCCCCTTTGTGACTCGCGGGGTTCAGCGTCACACTACACGCAAGAACTTAACAAGAACTTTCTCTTCGAAAGTTTGATGCAGGATTCTTTACACCGACATGAGTGAACATGTTTGAGCCAATGTTTTTCTGAATGTTTGGTGTATTCTCGAATGTTTGAACTTCTTTGTTTCTCGATCGTTTGGATTTGATGCAGGCTTTATCAGTAGGCTGGCTCAGATTCTTTAGAAGGATTAACGATGATTTTGCCGTGGTTCCAAACGTGTGCCACAGGGTTCAATCGCGGCATAGCACTTGGGAAAACTTGGGAGAAAACAAATGTTTTGTCGCCGATGGCGGCCTCAAGTTGACCTGCACGTACTTGCGTGCACTTCACACATGAACTCGCGTGGCTTCCAGGAGAACTTTAGGGGTTTGGTGGTTCGTAGCTGGTTCCGCTATGCCGCTCATGAGCCCTGTGGATGAGTTGTCCGAGTCAGGGTCCCTGTGATGTCAGAGAGAGCAGGGTTCTGTTGGTTTGGATTGAACCCGCACCGCTTGCTCCCATATACTGAGTTATGAGATGGCTGAGCAGGAGCAGGAGCTTGTGCTCGGGCCCCAAGTGTCAGTGGCGCAACTTCAACGCTTCACACTGTAAGTGGAATGAACTTAGGCAACGGCATGAGAGTGGGGGCAAAAAGGCACTATGTTTTGGCTGAATGAGTTCTAAAAAACTACATCTTCATGCGCAATGTTACAGTATATTCCCAAATGCTTTTTTGTGGATGGCAGGTTCCCAAATGGGGCATTTGGAAGGAAGGACAGCTCAACGCCCACAGCCCGTCTTTCATGCCACAGCTCCCACGCACACCATTGGGCATAGTGTTGGCTCTTTGATTGCATCACTATTCTATCGTTCATCCACTCTGATTTGCTAGGATGCCAAGTTTTATTCCTACTGGTGAAATTGTTTGAGGTGCCTGAGAGGCCCAAGAAGGATACCATTTTGCCCAAAAAGGGTGAAATCTTGAAGAAGAAGTTCACAGTGAACACATGGGGCACCATCCGCCCCGACCTCAAGCATCGCTCCAGCCTCTGTCATTGCAACCACAGAGCTTTCCAGAATCAGGCCTCTTTGGGGCAACGCAGCGAGCAAACCCAAAATACTTATCGAAGCGTGGCGCACAAGACCGGACTTATACTGAATCTGTCGTTCAAACCTTTTTCATGCCTAGAGTCATCAGAGATGTTCTTGCTGCAGGACTTTGCAAATCAAGTTTACCATTGGGAATCCTACATCCTGGCATGCCGCCAAGCGGGCAAGCCACGTGGCTTGTTTGCCACCCCGGACATAGGTGAATCTATGGC